AGAAAGCAGATCGAAGAAACAGTCGAGGTTGTTGACGAAGGAATCTACTATTGTGAATTGAACGGGCCGAGGTTGTAGAAAAGAGGAAGAAAAGAAGAGAAAAAAAAGAAAAAATAAACCATAAAAAAAAAAAGAACAAAAATCATTCTGCAAAATGAGAGACTGTGCATGCGTCGTGCGTGTGCCCTGAATATACACGCGTGGTGTATATTGTTGTCAATGTATACATGGAAAGAATACCAGGAGAAAAAAAAAAAGTAATAATAATAAGAGGAAGAGACGATTCTTGAGATTACTTCGTACACGGCCTCGTCACTACTTTTCGCAGTAAGAAACTAGTTAATTGTACATACTTGTAATCTACGATTGTATTTAGTTTAAGTCGGATAAGAGGAGCGTGTGCGCCGAGAGAACGAGAGAATGAGAGAGAGAGAGAGAGTATGCGAGAAAGAGAGAATAAAAGACCGGTGAATATGCGAATATGTGAGAAAAACTGAGCAAGAGATTTTTGTAATCAGTGCGAAGCTTACGTGATGGCTGTGTTTTACCACGCGGTCCGATCTTCCAGGCAAATTAATCCTGGGCCGCGCAGAAACGTTCGGTATCCCTCCCCCCCCCCCACGCAACTTGCTGGATCACCCCGAGTGTGGATCCCTCTGTCCCGAAACGAAGAAGACGGTCGGTTGACATTACGGTAGAAGTAGATGTATATTTAAAAAGCAAAACTAAACAAAAAGAAAAAAAAAGCAGAGAGAACACGTAACAAGTAAAAGAAGTAATAGACTCTTTTCGGGCGGAGAAATCCGATGAAGAAGAAGAAGAAGAAGAAAAATGTAATTTAACTGAGTTATATAGACGAGGACAATCTTGCTGCGCAGTAGCAATTTCTTCGATGAATTAGATCAATTAATCGTATAGTCGGCCGCAATAACACGCATCGATTGTAATTGCGCAGTTGTCTCCTTTGTATCTCGTATACGGAATTATCCTCGTCGTTAGAAATATCTATTCGCATCTAGCGTTATATACGCGTGTTACGATACCGATCTTTTTATCAATATGAATTCGTGAGAACACGCATTTCTCATCGTTTTAACGATTCGTTATGGTATTATATACATATATATATATATTATATATATATACATATATATAATATATAATATATACATATATATAATATATAATAT